TCTTCACATACAATTCCAGTTCGCTTTCTCCCAACATCCTCCATTTGTCATCCAATTCCTTCGCTTTTTCACTCCCAATTGATGGCATTCTTTCCCTAACAAGCCGCATTAGCCCTTCTGAACAGAACTTCCCATTCTCCACCATGAAAGAAGCCTTCAGCCATGGATATTCAGATAGAAACTCCTCTGCCAAAATCTTACTCTCAACATTATTATTGTTCACAGTCTCTTTCTTTGCTGCTTCCACATCCACTCTCGGCGAGCTTATAGACACTGAATTGCTAGCTTTCACACTATGCTTCCTCGGCTTATTCTTTGCTTCATTGCCCCATATTTTCTTCGACAGCACAAACGAATTGTGCTCATGTTGTTTCAAAAATACAGGGTCGTCCCCATTCCTGCCCTTCTCCGAGTTGTTCTTGTACTTCTTCTTCAGCCTCCTCACTTTATCGATCAATTGATTCTTCGAAACATTAACGCTTAGATTTTTCTTTATGAACTCTAGAAATTGGCTCATATCGGTATATGGATCAGACCCCTTTGCCGATTGAAAATCAATCATCCCCTGTAATATCGAAATCTCATCGTCCTCACTCCAGAGCCTGTTGATGCCGGACCCACACACCTTTTTCCCTTCTTCAATATCTTCGCCATTCATTACCCTCTTCATCTTCTTATTATTCGACTCATTCCCTTGAAAGTTATTCTCAATCGGGCGCTTCAAGCATGAACTAAAAGGTGGCTTCACAGTAGCACAATCTATGCTCGACTTGTGTGAATCCTTGTTAGGTTTAGAAGACCCACAGGCCAATTTCCGAAGAATCGGTTTAATGGTGAAAGCAGAAGCACTTGGGGAGGATTGGGTTTTCTCAGAATCGGAATCTGAGACGAACCCAGAATCCTTTTCGAGAGAATTTTCACGTCTAGGGATGACAGGAGAGGGGATTGCTTGTTCTTGTTCTTCTTGTTGTTCTTCCTCTTCATCTTCGTGGGTGTGTTCATCGATTTCATCCTCGGAGTTCTGCATTAGATTATCAATTTCCCGATCCTCTTCATGAGTCTCATAATCGGATTCTTCTTCGGAATCTGAAAAGGCATGCGCGGACGGAAGATCTTCGACGAGCCGCTTTGGTGCCATCGGAATAGAATGGGAGAAAAAGGTTGGTTTGGTTTAAGGGAGAGGGCGTCAGAAATTTAATTTATAGTATTGGAGTAGGGTTTTTGACACATTGGGGTTTCTGACGTGGCATTGATTCGACAAACTCCGAAAGGGAAAAGGATACGCCATACGTGGAAGGTAAGTATATAATTTGCATATTTTATTCAAAAAATAAATAGGAACATGGAAGGTAACTATATAATTTTCATATTTCATTCAAATGGGGATGTAGCTCAGATGGTAGAGCGCTCGCTTAGCATGCGAGAGGTACGGGGATCGATACCCCGCATCTCCACTTTTGTTTATTTATTTTCATATTTTCTATTTCCAGTTTTTATTTATTAATATTTTTACACAAACGTCATCGCAGGCTTATAACTTGATGAGGGTAAGATTTTCATCCTTGCTGGAGAACAACCTAATAGATTCTAAATTATCTGGCTCAATATGTAGATGGAGATGATCGATAGTTGTGACTAGAATTTTAGTGTTCAACCAGGTTTTGTGAATGGTAACCTATAATTCTAGTTTCTTCCCATGATTGCCATTGCCACAGCTACTCTTAAACCATTCATACTTCATAACGCAAACATTTGCAAGAAATCTCTTCATACAAATACTATAACCAATTCCAAGTCCGCTCTGAGAATCCCACTTACTTCTCTACAATGTGGAGCCATTTTGCAATCACTCACCAACACCAAATCAATTGCACAAGGCCGGAAACTCCATGCCTGTATGCTCACATGTGGAAATCTTCAAAACAATACCTATCTCAGCTCCAAACTTGCTGCATTTTATGCCGCTTGTGGTCGCATGATAGAAGCCCAAGTGATATTCGATGGGGTTGCTTTGAAAAATTCCTTCCTATGGAATTTTATGATTAGAGGTTATGCTTCTGGTGGTATTATTGCTTACAAGGCCCTTGCTATGTATCGTAAAATGCTAAGATTAGGAATTGTTGACAATTTTACTTTCCCTTTTGTTCTAAAAGCGTGTGGTGATCTGGGTCTTAGTGAAATGGGAAGGGAAATTCATACTCAGGTGGAGGTTTGTGGGTGGGATTCAGATATTTATGTGAACAATTCTCTTCTAGCAATGTACCTGAAGTTTGGGAATCTGGATGTTGCAAGGAAGGTGTTTGATAAAATGCCCGACAGGGATACAACTTCTTGGAATACTCTGATTTCGGGTTACGTGAGGAACAACAATGCAATGGAAGCTTTAATGATTTTTTATCTAATGGGAAAGGCTGGGTTGAAAGCAGATGGGACTACTTTGCTTGCACTCCTCTCTGCTTGTGTTGATTTGGCTGCCATTAAGCAGGGGAAGGAGATCCATTGTTATGCTATACGCAATAATTATGTTTCTTCGAATGAGTTCCTGATGAACTCACTGATTGATATGTACTCAAATTGCAGCTCTGTTGCTGTTGCTAGGCAATTATTCGAGGAGTTGAAAATTAAAGATACTGTATCATGGAATTCTATAATTTCATGCTATCAACGAAGTGGAGATGCTTTTGAAAGTTTAAGACTTTTCTGTCGAATGCTAATCGAAGAAACAGCAGCTCCGGATGAGATAACTCTCGTGGCTGTCCTAGGTGCTTGTGAAAAGATTACAGCCCTGCAATTTGGGAAGTCAGTCCATTCATATTTGACCAAGATGGGGATTTTCTTCAATTCTTATTTAGGCACTGCCATTATAGACATGTATGCTAAGTGTGGAGAATTATCTTGCTCTCACCACATCTTTTGTGAGATGACTCAGAAGAATATGGTTGCTTGGAGTGCTATGATTGTAGCTTATGGAATTCATGGGAGGGGAAAAGAGGCTATATCCATTTTCAATGAAATGACAGCAAATGGCATTAGTCCAGATGAGGGTGTTCTAACTTCTGTTCTATCAGCATGTAGCCATTCAGGCTTGGTTGATGAGGGCAAAAAGATTTTCAATGAAATGACCATTAAGTATGATATCAAACCGGGACCTGCTCATTACTTATGTATGGTAGATCTTCTTGGCAGAGCAGGGCTACTGAATGAAGCATACGAACTGGTAAAGCGTATGGAAGTCAAACCATCCGCTGATATATGGGCTGCACTCCTTTCTGCTTGTAGGCTTCATCGAAACGTTGTGTTGGCAGAGATTTCAGCTCAAAATATTTTCAGAACGAATCCAACAAGGGTTAGTAGCTACATCTGTCTTTCCAATATTTATGCTGCTATGAAACAATGGACTGCTGTGGAAAAAGTGAGAACTACAATGAGGAATTATGGATTGAAGAAACCAGCGGGGTACAGCTTAATTGAGCTTGATAGCCAGGTTCATATGTTCTTTGTTGGAGACAAGTCACACCAACAAACAAAAGATATATATGCTAAACTGAAGGATATAAGTTGGCGTCTCAAGGAGAAAGGGCACAAGCCCGATACTAGTTCAATTTTATATGATGTCAATGAAGAGCAAAAGGAGAAGATGCTTTGGGATCATAGTGAGCGATTGGCTATTGCTTTTGCTCTTCTAAATACCCCTCCAGGGACTAAAATCAGGATAACTAAGAATCTTCGAGTATGTGCAGATTGCCACACGGTAACGAAATTAATATCGAAACTCATGGATCGAGAAATCGTTATGCGTGATAACCACAGGTTTCACCATTTTATTGATGGCATTTGTTCTTGTGGGGATTTTTGGTAATTACTGTGTGACTTTGTTTCATGTCAAATTTATTCAATAACAAGAGGTATGCTATTTCTTATGTGGCAACTGTTTAGCAATCATCTATAGTTAGCAATTAAATATGTATCATGTGGGTAGCCATAGGTTTTCATCATTTTATAGGTTTCACCAATTGGAGTATCAGTTTCTTTATACCATGAGAATGACCCTCTTTGTTTATTCCTTTTGGTATAGCCTTCAAAAAAATTTGATTATAGGCTGCATTGCGAAACCTTGGTAGTGCATTCTCTCCTGCTACATTGTCACCTTACTCAAACTCAACCATTCCTAGAATTTGTGATCTAAGTTCTTAATCTGTTTTATAGTTTACCTGCTGAACTAGTTCCTCGGTCCACTTTTGGCTAATAATTCCTTGATTGATAAAAGATGAGGAAGACGATGTGTAAGTTTATGCTTGATTGGTTGTCCTGTTGCTGAGACAGGTTTTTACGGATAGTGGCAGCTTGGAAGAATCCATGTTTATTTACAAACAGTCAAAATCTGTGATGCAGAGTTCAGCTAACTGAGAGCCACATTTATGAGGTTAACCCCTATCTCAAAGAGGAATGACTTGGCAGACATGCTTGGTTGGCTCGATTCTTGATGTCTTTTCAACAGGTATGTAATAACAAAACAAAACCTCTTTTTATTTTTTAACCGAATTTTCCATATATCATTAGTGCCCCACTTCCACCTCTTGGGTCTGCCTGCTTAACTTTTATTGCTCACCGCCATTGCTCACCAATCCTCTGAGATAGAAATTTGGCTTTTGGGTCTGCCTGCTTAACTTTTATTAATTACATTAAAACTATCCATCTCTTAGATCCATGTACGGACTGTAAAAAAGTAAAAATCTTACCTGTCATTCACTTACCAAAGGTTAAAAGTGAAAAGGAACGGTGACGGTTTCATTGGTCTTCACGTGGAACCGATGCCCTTTCAAGCTACAACTCTGTGAGTAGCCCAGTCCACTCCACTCCCTTACTCCCTATCTCTCTCATTTTGCTCATCTTCTTCACCCGCCATGAGAAAAAGACGAAAAAGAATCAAACCCCAAATCTTTTTCTTGTGAAGCTGTGTATTTTTTGGAATCTGAAATTGGAACTCTGGATAATCGAAAATGTGTTATGTTGGCAAAGCTACTAAGATCTTCATCTTCATTGTTACCGTTTTGGTGGTTCTTGGTCTAGTTCTTGGCTTTGGATTTATGCGTCATGGCCTCCAAAAATCCCACAAGTGCTCCGGCAACTCCTGTTTTTCCCCTCCGGTTGTCTTTCCCAATCCCAATTCCGCCACTCCCGGCGGCGCCGCCCCCATCTCGGCCTCCAATCAACCGCAGAACCCACCAAACCCACCAGATTCCAATCCCAACCCACCACCTCAAAATCCGATTCCGGCTTTTCCACCTCCATCTGAAGCTACTCCGGCTTTTCCACCTCCATCTGACGCTACTCCGGCTTCTCCGCCTCCGCCTGACGTTATTCCGACTACCCCACCTTCGCCTGACGTTATTCCGACTTCCCCACCTCCGCCTGATACCATCCCGAATCCCTTACCGCCGCTGCCGGCATCTCAATCTCCACCTCCTCCAGAAACCGAAGCGTCGCCACCATTAACTCCACCCAGTACGACGCCGGTGAGTCCAGGTCCAATGCATGTTCAGCTGCGATCGTCGATTCGTAAGACCAATAAGAAGTTCTGAGGTCGATTTATTCATTGATTAAGCTCATTACTTTCAAAAAAAAAAAAATTGCCTTGAATTCTTAGATAGATTTGTAGAGAATGAGGATGAAATGTGAGTTGTATTAGATTCGAGTGATGGGTCGATCCAATCTTCAGGTGTTGCCTGCTTGTTTATGACGGATTTTCAGTTCCATTTTACTGAATTTTCACAGAAAAAGCAGAGGAATCAGCCGTGATTCCTTTTCTTTTTCGCTTCTTTTGTAGTGTATCAGTTTCACAGTTCCTTCTTTGACCATTGTCGTCTACAGTGTCTACACTACTCCCAATGACATTATCAGTCCGAATTTCGCTAATCCTCATAAAAGCCACTTCTTTTCAGCTAAAAAACCTAAAATGTCGGAAATGGGTCGAACGGATACTCGGGTTTTGAAGTGGGTCTGTATAATTGTTGATGTTTTGTTTGTATAATTGTTGATGAAAATTTTCTTTTAGAATATCTGAACTGAGCCATTTTCAGACAAATTTGGTGTCTCCGAGGAAAACGAAGCTTTCTTTTTAGCTTCTTTACGCAAAGTACAGATTTTAGCAGAGTCCCATGTTCATTTCTGCAGAATTTTCGCAGCAACATCCTCGCATGCCTTCAAGACGGTTTCTTTTTTTTCTTTTTTTTTTCTTCTTTTAAAGATAATGTCTTTTAAGGGTCGGATTGAATCCTATGGATAAAAGCAACTGATCTTCCATCAAGCGGCTGAGGCCTTTGTGTTTAACTGCGAAACTTTGTCTTAAACCGGTGGTTGTAGGGTGACCACAAAAAAGTTTTGAAGGCTATTGACCCTTGCATTTAGGGTAGATACCCTATAAGCTAAAGGACAAGGGTTAAATTTGGAGGGCACGTTGCGTGGTACTCTGCCAACTGTAAACATTATAATAAGGTTTGGAATTTCTATACTGTTGCGGTGTTATAATTCATGTCATGCACGAGGATCGGTGTCCGGTCACCGAAATCCGGTCGGCTTCTGCGGCGGAGGGCGGCGAGTTTCTTGATTAGTCTGGACATTTGAGTGATGAGAAGACGGTCATGTGGGAATTGGGGAAAATTAAATCTAAAATGATCTTTGCCCCTTCCTAGCCTTAGTCTTAAGGACCACTTTAGGTCAATTACAATGCAAGCGTTTAATTTGACAGAGCTTATGTTCAAAGAGAACAATATCCTACTATTGTTGAGATCCGTGATTCATAACTTAGTATCAAAATCATGCCCTTAACTTAGTCATGTCAATCGAATTCTCTAAGTGTCGAACAAATAGTATACTTTGTTCGAAAACTCTAGAGAAGGAGTTGAGTCTCGATTAAGGGGAGGCTATTCGAGAGCTCCATAGGCTTCAATGGAAGCTCTATAATGTACTTTGTTTAAGACGAGGATTGTTGGGAGAAGTCTCATGTTGACTAATTTAAAGCCACGATTCATAACATGAGTTTCATGATTGAGTATATTTGAATATGTTATTTGACACAAAATTATGTAATTTTACGTGAAACGTAAACTATACTTATAAGTTAACCCAATACTTTGATTAATATTTGATAAAATTATCAACTCACCCCTTATGTTTGATATCTTGAGCCATACATAAACATGTAGAATACGGAGTCATTGACGAAAACATAGCTCAGAAATTACAAGTTCTTTCAGTTTTAGGCAGTAAAGAAGGGGTAAGTTTCATATCTAAAGTTGCAGCTCCCACCGACCACTCTTCCACCAACTTTAGCTCCATTAGCACAGCAATAAGGCAGTTCAGCAATGGCATCATCAAGGCACTTCTTGCAATCCGCACTCCACAGATCTCTGGTACACTGAACCAACCCATACACCTTCTTGGAGCTCCCAATCTCCAACTCTCCAATCGCATACAAATTCCTCGACGTTTTAACCTTTTCAGACAACCCACTAAGCAAGTTCTTAACTTGTTCCCCAAACGACGTCGGATCCTCCGCGTCTCTGACATTCCTCAAGTAGAATCTAAACCCCCCATTTTGATTCTTCCCAAAGAATTTGGCATTGGAGTATTTCAAGAGGCATGAATCATACCATATGGCCGCCCCTTTCTTATAAGGACATCGCTGTTGGATGTCTTGCCCGGCCGTCGCAACACAGTTCTTGCAATCGGCGGGCGAGGCGTCCCCCCGACATAGAGCCAAGCCATTGACTTGGTTTGTTAAATCTTTGCCTCCAGTTGAGCTGAGGCCGAAGCCAGAGGGTGGTGCACTATTGGTCAATCTATCGAGAGCTTGTTTTAAGTTAGAAGCATAGAGACTATTCATTGTGTAGTTGTCGGAGCTTGAACATGTATGGTAGAGATATCCGCCATTGGTTGTGGTTATGGTATTGCCTATGGCGGCGAGAAAGAGGAGGAGAATAGGAAGAAATGGCTTTGATCCGCTCATGCTTTGAAATGGATGATTGTTATGTTTTGAGAGTTGATATAAATAGTGTGAATGTTTGATTAATCCACCACACCTAAATGGTGTGAAAGTTATCTTATTTATAATCAAATGAATTACAAGGATATGGAAATAGTAATAAATGGAAATAACAATAAATGGAAACATACCTAGATAATAAGGCAAATATCTAATATTTGCCTTATAATAAAATATAAAATATAATATATATGGTAAACTATAATTTATTACTAAATATCCTTAACACCCCACCGCAAGCTAAGCGTCGGATTTAAACGAACGTGAAGCTTGAATCTGAAAAATTCAAAGAGGTTGAGAAACACTTTTCATGAAGATGCTAACAACCCGGTTCTTGGCCATACAAAATTGCAGAGGGATCGCCGCTCAGCGGCGATGCTGCCTTGGCTTCGGCGAGATATGTCTAACCCATGAAGAGGGATTGTCGCTTAGCGACGATGCTGCCTTGGCTCTGGTGAGAATATTTCTAACCCCAAGAAGTAGAAGGGGAAACCTAGAGCAAGGGACAAAGACAATGTTGAAGCCGGAAGAGTCGCCACATTGGGCGAAGGAGCCAATTTTGGCGAGAAGGGCAGTCGGAAGAGTCGCCTCATCGGGCGAAGAAGCCAATTTTGGCAGGAAGGGCGGCGACAACTTGGTTGGCGAATAGGCCAGTGCGGCACCCAGATTCCGAAGGTAAATCTCTGCAAAAGGTTGATAGGTTTAGGTTAGGGTTTATGTGAAGGATGAAGGTTGATTGGGAAGAAAATGAGAGAGACTATATTGGCCAAGGGGAAAATCGATTGGGTTGGAAAAGGTGAGGTTGTATGTACAGAGTATGACGAAAGGTGATTTGGAGGTCAATAGGGTGGAGCCGAAGAGTAATCAATCGGCTCCGACTACGGCAGCCATGAAGACTGCCCCTGCGGCGTCAAAACCAGCAGGGGTGGTGGAGAAGAAGATTAGAGGATTCAAAAGCCATTGAAAAGAAAGGATCGGGGTTGTTAAACCGAGAGGGCTCTGATACCATGTGAATGTTTGATTAATCCACCACACCTAAATGGTGTGAAAGTTATCTTATTTATAATCAAATGAATTACAAGGATATGGAAATAGTAATAAATGGAAATAACAATAAATGGAAAGATACCTATGATAATAAGGCAAATATTAGATATTTGCCTTATAATAAAATATCAAATATAATATATATGGTAAACTATAATTTATTACTAAATATCCTTAACACCCCACCGCAAGCTAAGCGTCGGATTTAAACGAACGTGAAGCTTGAATCTGAAAAATTCAAAGAGGTTGAGAAACACTTTTCATGAAGATGCTAACAACCCGGTTCTTGGCCATCAAAAATTGCAGAGGGATCGCCGCTCAGCGGCGATGCTGCCTTGGCTTCGGCGAGATATGTCTAACCCATGAAGAGGGATTGTCGCTTAGCGACGATGCTGCCTTGGCTCTGGTGAGAATATTTCTAACCCCAAGAAGTAGAAGGGGAAACCTAGAGCAAGGGACAAAGACAATGTTGAAGCCGGAAGAGTCGCCACATTGGGCGAAGGAGCCAATTTTGGCGAGAAGGGCAGTCGGAAGAGTCGCCTCATCGGGCGAAGAAGCCAATTTTGGCAGGAAGGGCGGCGGCAACTTGGTTGGCGAATAGGCCAGTGCGGCACCCAGATTCCGAAGGTAAATCTCTGCAAAAGGTTGATAGGTTTAGGTTAGGGTTTATGTGAAGGATGAAGGTTGATTGGGAAGAAAATGAGAGAGACTATATTGGCCAAGGGGAAAACCGATTGGGTTGGAAAAGGTGAGGTTGTATGTACAGAGTATGACGAAAGGTGATTTGGAGGTCAATAGGGTGGAGCCGAAGAGTAATCAATCGGCTCCGACTACGGCAGCCATGAAGACTGCCCCTGCGGCGTCAAAACCAGCAGGGGTGGTGGAGAAGAAGATTAGAGGATTCAAAAGCCATTGAAAAGAAAGGATCGGGGTTGTTAAACCGAGAGGGCTCTGATACCATGTGAATGTTTGATTAATCCACCACACCTAAATGGTGTGAAAGTTATCTTATTTATAATCAAATGAATTACAAGGATATGGAAATAGTAATAAATGGAAATAACAATAAATGGAAAGATACCTATGATAATAAGGCAAATATTAGATATTTGCCTTATAATAAAATATCAAATATAATATATATGGTAAACTATAATTTATTACTAAATATCCTTAACACCCCACCGCAAGCTAAGCGTCGGATTTAAACGAACGTGAAGCTTGAATCTGAAAAATTCAAAGAGGTTGAGAAACACTTTTCATGAAGATGCTAACAACCCGGTTCTTGGCCATCAAAAATTGCAGAGGGATCGCCGCTCAGCGGCGATGCTGCCTTGGCTTCGGCGAGATATGTCTAACCCATGAAGAGGGATTGTCGCTTAGCGACGATGCTGCCTTGGCTCTGGTGAGAATATTTCTAACCCCAAGAAGTAGAAGGGGAAACCTAGAGCAAGGGACAAAGACAATGTTGAAGCCGGAAGAGTCGCCACA